AAACATTTTTTTGTATCTGCCTTACCAACGGAGAAATTTGGGTGGGTCCCGTAAAATGGCCCACCCTGTATATATAATATACAGATTTTTGTATATATTATATGTATTAACAAAAACTGACTATAATACTTATTTTCAGGAACTTAATGTTTTTTTTAACAATGATAAAGGTGTTAATAATGTAGGATTGGCCCCTCCTCTTATTTCGTAAGGGCCAATCTACTGGAATATGAAGAACGTATTGAAGAGGCTTCGATCAAGCACACACAGTCTCGTTTTCAAGCGTTTTAATGTCACAATCATCAATGGTCGGATACAGTTCGCGACGCACGCTCTGTACACACAGTTCTCTCGCACGATTCTCACGATGCGCACGACTCACGATACGCACAATACGCTACGACTCACGATGCGTACAATACTCTACGACTCACGATGCGTACGACTCACGACACGCACGATACGCTACGACTCACGATGCGTACAATACTCTACGACTCGCGGTATCCCGACTCACGGAACACACGATACGCTACGACTCACGATGCGTAAGACTCACGACACGCACGATACGCTACGACTCACGATGCGTAATACTCTATAACTCGCGGTATCCCGACTCACGGAACACACGATACGCTACGACTCACGATGCGTAATACTCTATAACTCGCGGTATCCCGACTCACGGAACACACGATACGCTACGACTCACGATGCGTAATACTCTATAACTCGCGGTATCCCGACTCACGGAACACACGATACGCTACGACTCACGATGCGTAAGACTCACGATATTCTCGATTCTCTACAACTCGCTATATCCCGCTGGATCTCGCTGAGACGCGCTTCGTCTCGCTATGCTACACGTACACGTACTCTCTTTCTCTCTCTGTCTCCGGGCACGCACACGCCATCTCTCGTGTCCCCTAGCGCACCTCAAGCTCGGAAATTTGGGGAACCACTATCTTACTCTCCTACAAAAATAATATTGAACAACGTGACATTACTAATTGTAGTCCTACAAAAGAGGAATTACAGGAAATTGCAGTGAAATATTATGAACTACTAAAAAAACAATCTACTACAAATTTTAACACTTTATCTATTGATGCAATGAAGGATAATTGTCAGTTATCCGAAAATAAAGAAGATTTAAAAGATGAAAATGATGAAGAAAAACTTTCAGTGATTGATTCATATCTTTCTGATAACAACGAAGTTTTTGAAGATCCAGATAATGATAGTCAACTTTTCGGACGTGACTATTCTGGTGACAAAGTATGCAATTATTACAGTTTAAACTTGATTTTCAGTTCCTTTAAAAATTTTCTCTACCTAAGTATATTTCTAGATGATACATCTACGGAATGGGATCTTTTGTAGAAAAAAAAATTATGATCTTGCTCTAGGAAGTTCACATAGAGCTAGTCATATAGCTCGTAGATTATTGGAAGGAGTTTTTAAACAAGAAATTCTTATCAAATGTACGTTTACTGGACAAACACCACGCTCATTAGGAAAGGAGCGTCTAACAGAGGAGATGTTCTGCTTACATGATCGCGCAAAAAATGCTATAATAGGTTAATATTATATATATTCAGTATAAATTATATGATTAAACGATTTTATAAATAAGGTAAACTAAATAAATCTTTTAATTATAGATTTTTCGATAGACGTAGCTAAAAAAAGAGGTTGGGAAAAGCTAACCAAAGAAAAAGTGAAACAGGCTGTCTCAGAAATTAGGTGAATTGAAAAGGGACAAACGAAATACTAACAAAGAAAAAGAAAAGTAATTTTATTACATACGTTTGTTAGATTTTTATCCTTCAGTTTTTCCACTGCATATGCGTAAATCGAAATACACTATTTCTTTTCCGTTTACATCTGACAAGTTCTAGTTTATGTTTAGCATTTGTACTGTGTTACTGACAATCAGATGTTGCTTCTGCATAGCCTTAAGTTTCATTATTTTATAATTTGATTGATATAAATATTTACAAAATATTTTTATTTTATTTAAAATAGCGATTTTCATATAATATACTTTTTTTTATTAAAGAGAAACAAGTTTAATATTGTTTGTTTATGTGATAATACATTGTAGTTACTTTAATATATTATCGTATCAATCGCTGAAAGAAAAATAATTTTTTATTATTTTTGTTATTTGTGGTATTAAAATACATGTTATATTATGAAAAAAAGTTAAATATTTGTAAACATTTTAAACTACGTAATTAATAAGATAATTTAATTTTACTGTCATGAAAATTATATAAAATAAAAAATAGTAGAAAAGTATATGTTATCAATCTTTTTTATAATTGATTCGATCTACACTATATATTTTTATACTATCATATACATGTTATTGTATGTTATTAAGTAAGTTATTAAGAATATTCTCACTATATATTTTATTCTTCCTATGTGCGTGCGTGCATGCGTCTAATATGTATTTGAGGCACTAAACTCAACCACTTTATCAATTATTTGTAAATTAATATTTGTTATATAAAAAATGTTTCAAACAAATGTTGTATGGCATCTAGGAGGGAAGTGCGGTATAATATTGATTGTTTGATACCATACGACATTTGTTTGAAACATTTTTTCATATAACAAATAATTTACGAGTAATTGAAGGTGGTCGAGTAAGGTGCTTCGCCCTGTATATTTGAACATATATGAAACTGTATGAACATACAATAACATGTATGATACCATATAAGCCATACATGGATTTATATATGTATATGTATACTAAAACATGAACATACATATATTAACATGTATGATAGCAGCACGTTATATATGGCTACAATAAAATCATGTATGATCATATAAAGTTATACATGGTTATATGTAATCAGACATATTTAGGCGTCGTCATATAGAGACAAATTTCGTGTATGATCATATATGTATATTACATATATGGTCATATATCATTATATATCAAAATTTTTTCCCGGGTCCGCAGAATGAACAAGTAGATTCATCTAAAAATAAAATTATCATACATGTAACATTATCATAACATTCAGCAAATAAACATAGTTAAATTACTAATCAATTGATTTATTAATAAATTCAAACTTTCGTTTAATATTACACAGTTAATCTAAAAATATAATCATCATGCATATAATATATGCAATGTGAAAAACATACTTAAGTTACTACTTGATGATGTAATAGTCGATGGCCGATGGTATAATTATGAAGTACTTCTCGCATTAGGTGTACTGTATGCAGAAATGCTTGATGTTGCTACTCTTTCTACACAAGATTGCTTTATAAATTTGATATAAAAGCACGCGAAAGTTAATAATATTATTACACAAAAAAACATTACAAATGATAATATTTTAATACAATACTCACTTCTCTCTTTTTCACTGATAAAGACTTTAGATTGTTTTGATATCTGTTGTTCCGAGCCACTCATAGACACTAAGTATAAAAAGTATATAATATACTATTATAAATTACAGATTATTTAATATTATTATAAAATAAAGATTATTTTAAAATAAAGATATTGCATTTACATTATAAAAAATAATAAATAAATTTATATGGTTTTTTATACATGTATTTAATGTTAAATAAATGATAATTTAGATCAAAATGTTCATAGTTACAATGTTATTAGTAACATATAATCGGTAAAGTGAAAAGTGCCATTGAAACTTCTCATGCAACTGCTTATAATTTAAAATTCGATTTCAGTTATATATTTTAGAACTTAACGAAAATGTAAGTATTTCTTTTACCTTGTTTAATAGTTTTTGGGGAGCGCAATAGAACAGATGTATCTTGATCATCATCATCATTATCGCTGCTTGAAAAGTATCTGCGATTTCTTTTTCTATGTCTGCCTTGTTCAGTTTCGGACATAGATTGTACATCTGATGTATTTTCGCATTTTTTTAGTTTTGCATGGGCCTTTTGAAGATCATCTGTAATTTAAAAAGTAAATAGCTAACCTCCCAATCAACAAAATGATGTTTAAAAAATATTTTTTTAAATGTTTGAAAAACATTTTTTGAAATATTAAAAGAAACATTTAAATAATGGGATAAGTCCCCTTTTTCTCATACATAAAATATTTATTTTACATTTAAAAAAAATTTTTTTATTACTTAATAAACATTAATTTTAATATTTACACGAGTAGATTTTTATTATTAAATAAACATTTATTTAACGTTTAATCACGTTTTTTAAATATTTACTGAACATTTGCTTAATGTTTAAAGAAATGTTTGGTAAATGTTCACTTTAGGGGAGTCAGCTCCGATGACCTTGACCTTGACATATGTTGTCAAGGTTACCCTCCTGAGTAACGCTCAGAAGGTTTTAGCCGTCGCTCGTTTGTTTGTTAAAAAGTTATTAAAAAAACAATGTCAACCAATTATATGTAATTTTCAAACACAAATATTAAAAATTTTGAAAAATGTTTTAAACAAAAGTTGTAGATCTCTTTGAAATATGCATTTTACGTCCTATTTATTCTTACTGTACGAGTGATAGTTTTCGAGAAAAATGATGGACTTAAACACGTAAGTTGCAAGCGCGTTTAGCACGGCGCGCTGCGCGCGCCCCACCCTCTCCCTCTCTCTCTCTCTCTTTTCGAAACACCCACCGCCGGACCCTAGAATTCCCGCGGCTATCCGTTGCCCAAATTCACAGAATCGAACGGTCACAAACTAACAAAAAATCTTTTTAAAACATTATTACAAATATAATAAATAAATAATGCAAATGTACAAATTATATTAAACATATCATAAATAAAGGTTAAAAAAATTTTTTGAATTACTTTTT